CACGTCCTGAAAGGACGCAATACACAGATGATGCTTATTTTTATTTTTTAGTAGTTGAAAAGAAACTGTTTGGCACTCATAACAGGAAAGACCATCACTCTCGCACATACACTCACATACACACACCTATATACAACTGTTCATATGCCTATATATGTATATGAACTCAAGCATATTTTTACATACACAAATGTTCTAAATAGGACAAAAATATAATTTAATATTAAAAAGTACTTTAGTTTTTCCTCTTAATAATAATAAAGATTTTGATGATAACGCTTTGTTTTTATTAAATTTGGCGCATTTTTCATAAGGCTTTGCTCAATTCTAAGGGAATGTATGGAGGTACCTACTTAAAAAGTATGCATTATGAAATGTATTGGTATGAGTGTTCTCAGCTGTTTTATTTATTTGGCGAGGAAAGTGGGCTAAGAAAATTTGGTACTCACAGGATCTATTGAAGGCAAAAGGGACAGAGGAAAACAGAGCTTAATCTACCTTCCGAGTTGTATGGCAGAACAGGAATTAGAAGAGATAGGAAAAAGGCAGGAAATTGTGGAGAACCATGATCGCCAATGTCCTGAATGGATACAACACACAATAATAAATTATCATAAAGTTTAATCATTAAAATATCGTATGTTACTGAATGAAACAATCAAGGATTTTTCTTGCTTATTATTATTCTTTTTTTTTTTTTTTAAAATGGAGAACAATTTTGTAATTAGTAGTTAATACACCTGGAGTTATCTCTCTTTCTTTGACAAAAAATGTTCACCCATGTAAAATGGAACGGCACTTGAAGTAGGAGAAAATAAATACACTGCAGCTCATTTTATTTTTTGAATAGTTGCCAATAATGTTATAATACAGGCTACGGTAGAAATACTTTGCACGTATACCTCCCAGAAATACCTTCCACATACCTCCCAGAAATACCTCTCACTTATACCTTCCGGAAATACCTCGCACATATACATCCCAGAAATACCTCTCACATATCCCTCCCAGAAATACCTCGCAAACATACCTCCCAGAAATACTTCGCATATATATCTCCCAGAAACACCTCACACATATATCTCCCAGAAACACCTCACACATATATCTCCCAGAAATACCTTTCACATATATCGCCCAGAAATACCTTGCACATATACCTCCCGGAAATACCTTGCACATATACCAGTTCTCGAAATCTATGGTTGAAAAGGACACTGGTGAAGCTTCGACGAGCCGTGCAAGCCAAACTAAAAAATAAAATTGCAAAAGAACCTTTCCATGAATAGAATAAGGTGCGGCAGAAATACTTCCGACATTTATAAAGGTTGACAAAAAGACAACAGTAACTGTTATTTAAAAAATATTTCATTATTGTATAAACAAAGGCCTACCATTTATTTACATTGTTTTAAAACAATACACTATTGGAAACGATATCCAAATTTTTCCATCATCCGGATTTTCGATCGCTTCATGGTCTTCCAGGGGACTTTTCCTTAAGCGTAGAACCTGTGGCCTTGAAATTTTCAGCCCGTAGCAGTCGGTCGAGTCTGACAGCGGCACTGTTGATGGTTGTGAGTAGACTGAGGAATGTGTTAGAGATTTAAGAAGTTTCGTTCTCATTACATAGAAGTGATGACGCGAAAGGTTTGGTGTGAAGAAAACAGAATTTAGGAAACCGAGAAAGAGAAATGGAATCTCTTATCATGGTAAACCAGCATCACTATGTCAGAAGTAATTATGTCAAATCAAAAAATAGACTAAACACAGCAAAACATCAATTGTTGTCTTTGAGGGGAGGAAAGAAATGAGGCTGTAAACCACATCACAAGTGAAAACAGCGATCTGACTCTAATGTATCACGAAAAAATTGTAATGGTAATGGCAGTATTAACCGTCTCTCTATAAGGAAACATTTGACATCCATTGACCGAGTAGCCAATTCTTTTCTTTTTATGTGCCATGTCTTTTCAGGGCGTAGGCGATTATGGTTCTCCACCTCCATCTATCCCTTGCAGCAGTCAACAAGTTTCTTCCTCTTCCAGACCACGTTCTGTCATCCACTTGCTTAAGCCCGTCAGGTATGTCATGTGTTGTTTTCCCTTGTCTCTCTTTCCCTCTATTTGACCCGTGAGTATCAGATTCACAAGGCTCTCCTTCCTCATTATGTATCCCAGAAACTTCAGCTGCCTCTTCCTGATATTAAGTATAAGCCTCCTTGTTTGCAACCTCTCTTAAGACCTCATCGTTGCTCACACGCTTGGTACATGATATTCTTAGCATCCTTCTGTAGAACCACATCTCTGTCGCTGTGAGTCTCTTCATTTTTGAGGAAATCGTCAACATTCGCTGTCGTAAAGAAGGACAGATGTCATGTAACAGTTCGTTATTCTTTTCTTTGTTACCAAAGAAATCCTCCTGTCTCTGACCAACTTCTGGAATGTGTCCTTGGCCATCCCGATACGCCTACAGATCTCAGTGTCGCACTTACCGTCCTCTGTCAAGACGCTTCCCAGATATTTAAATTTCTGCGTCTGCTTGATTCTAGTGTTCCCGACCTTCAGATTGCATTTCGGGTTCATCCTTTTACTGATGACCATGCATTCTGTCTTCTTGTAGTTTATGCTTAGTCCTTTCTTCTCACTCCCCGTCTTTAACTGCTTTAATTTCTTTTCCGTGTCTGCTATCAGTACTGTGTCATCTGAGTAATACAGGTTGAATATCCTTTACCCGCATTTCCAAAAACCTTCCGAAAACTTCCCAAATCGGAAAGTTTTTTTTTCAGGTCATGACATAACTTGCCACAAATGGAAAATTTCAGAAAGCACTGTATTGTATCAATTCAGAAAGTTATGCGTGTCTGCAGATTTGTATCGGAATAAAGATGAGGTTGAGAAATTTCGAAGAAATTAAGTTCATTATTTTCAGAAGGAATACATTTCAATACGTGGGGGAATTTTACATATAATTTTTTGTATAAAGAATAAAGTAATTCAAGAAGAGAGAAAACATATTCGTCTGTACACAGATAGCTGAAAGAAAAAGAAAACATTTTGTTCCCAATCTGGCGTTTTGGCTTCAGTCACTTTCCCACCAACATAAGGTTGCTTCCCTTTGCCTTTTCTATAAATACTTTCGGATGAGCTCTTCACTATTGTGCCTAGACTCTCCGAATTTAAGGGCAATACTAGACTGACAACATGGTCTCACAAATTTACAGTTGAGTTGGCTCGATCTAACCATACATTCTATACTAACAGTTTCTTTTCTCGCACTTCTCGCAATTTTCACGTGTGGAACTCCCTTCCGGCTGAATACTTTCCAGCCAAATTTAATCTGCAGAAATTTAAATGCAGTGTCAGTCGCTATCTGCTGTCCTCTTGATTACTATTCTTCTGTTCTCGCTCCTTAGCAATGTTCTTGTTTCTAACTCTCCCGCACCCAGTGACCTCTTGTGTCTTAGTGGCTTTACTGCTTTGTTTGAGGTGAACCTGATTAAAAAAAATAAACTCATGAGACATTCATAGCAAAGCGCAGACGTTCATCTCCAACTGGAGTACACAAAGTCACCTAGTTCTCTACGCCAGTTTATGCTGAACCCATGAATGGTTATATAAGTATTGGCACAATGAGCCATGTGCTTGTGGCTATACTGTTATATAGGAATAAAATGTCGCTGCCGATACTTGAGTTTGAACATTGATCGCCAGCGAGCAAACACAGGCGATTCCATTATTGAATTAAGTAGACCACGCGACCATAGAGGAAACGCATATATGTAGGAAATAGTTGATGTCTAAACGATCGCTACTCCTAGTCTATCCCCTATACTATACAGATCGCTATCTCTGCTCTATCCTCTATTACTATATGGACCTCTATTCTCTCTACGGATCACTATTCGGTGGTTACTTGTCGAGCGACTATTATCGAGCAAGTACTATTAGTGCGAGTCATATTCGAAGGCGTCTGACACCAGTATTGTTCAATGGTGTACTATAGAGGTATCTGCGATTACAAAGTCTCTACTACAACGAGCATTACGAAGTGACAATGAGTATTCGTTGGCATTAAAAAAAGTGGCAATGAGTGTTCGTTGACATTACAAAATATACATAATACAATATATCGATTTTTATGACGAGAGTTTCCAGAGAAGTGGGATTCGCTATTAAATATATGTGGATTCCGTCTTGGCCAGTTGCATGTTGCATGCTCAAGAGTAAGAAATCCTAAGAAGTTATTCTTTGCTGTTAAAAGGGAGAATAAGAAATTTTCTTTAAAAATATTATTTACCATGGAGTCATAATTTAAATTAAAGAAATTATCGAACCAATCAGCTTATTTAAATTTCATCGATCGGTGTGCGAAATTGAACAACACGTAGGGTTTTAAATCTCGACAAAAAAAAACGTTAATTTCAACAATACTAAATATTGTGATAATTTCAAAACGCGCCACCGTGCAAATTCTAGTTACCAAAAATACAAAGTTGTGTCTGAGGAAGAGATGTATTTCTTAAGTGTTGAAAAAAAAAAACGCTGCAGTTAAATGTGAAGTTAACATTCACGTAGGTGGCTTTTGAGGCAAGTAACTTGAGATATCATTTACCAAGCTACTGGAAGAAAGTGCAGGTAGTGACGCTTCTCGAAATAGGAAGCCGAAGCAGAGGCGGAAAGTCAAATGTTCAACAGCAAAAGAAGAAAGCGCTCACGGATACCCAAACGATACCCAGCAGTTTCACGAAGCACAGTCATTGAAGCCTTGATCTAAAAGTGTATTCCTTCGAGGCAAAATGAAAAAGAAAAAATAATTGTCAGTGTGTACGTCGCATTGTTCTCATCAACATTTCTCCCACATCAACCTGTCATTCCACTGTGATGAATCTATCGTCTCTTGGCAATCGTCATCATCTTTTTTAACGAGGTAAATTAGATTGATTTATTTTACGGTATATCAGCCCTTTGTGGGTTATTTGGACTGTAGGATATCTCTTACAGTAAACTGTGTTCCCAAGCGGTTATCCATCTAAGTACTAATCGGGCTCGAAAATGCTTAACTTCGGTGATTGAACGGGAAGTGGCGTGATTTGGCGTGATTTGACCGTAAGAACGTAAATTAGATTGGTTGATTATTTTTCCGGCCTATCAACCTATTGCAGGTTATTTAAAGCCAGAAATATTTTTAGATTGTGAGAATTTTGGGGAGATAATAATGATTTACTGATATAGGTTCTACTAATTAACCCATAGCTGGAGGCAGAAGAGGTGGATTCATAACTTTCCCATAACTCTGCGTGTAAATGAACATAACGAACCCAGCCAAAATTGGAACACGACTCTCCGACTTCCAATTGCGAGCCGTTACTCATTACCCCACCAGCACATCCAAGCTTACAACTCTTGGTATTCCCAAGCGATCACACATGTAGTGTATTGACTAGGTTCAGCGAGAATTTACTTCGGGGATCGAACGAGAACTAGTGTTTCAGCGTGATTTGACCGTAAGAAAGTAAATTAGTTTGCTTCATTAGTTTTTTACGGTCTTTCAACCTATTGCAGGTTATTTAAAGCCAGAAGATATATTTAGATTGTAAGAAATCAAGAAAATACGCTTTTTAAGCAAGGCGTCAAGAGGGTACTGGTTAATGTTCATTTATGCATTATTCATTATACCGACATTTTCTTTCTGTTGCTACGGCGGTTGGGAACAACAGAAAAATATCCTTACTTGCTTCTCTTGCTATATATACACAAATTAGTTTAATAATCACTAAGTCAAATGATGGTGATTTGAGTAGTGGGTGGAAGATTGTGTTCCGCCAGTCTTTCAATGACAAAGGACCTGACTACGTAATAAAATCACTATTTGAAACCTTTGTTTTTATCTAGGCTCCAAAACCATCTTCCGACAACAGTGGTAAAAGAGACAAATATTTTAACCAGAAAACCAGCGTTTTTGGGGTTTGTTTTTTTTCTTTCTTTCTTTCAACTTTTTTTTTTTTTTTGTTCCACTCTCACAGAAAATACTTCACATCTGCAAACAAAGATATGTATATCTACAAAATTATAACAGGACGTGCTTCATACCAGAAATATTATTCGAAAGGAAATCAGTTGCATTTTAATGTTTTGTTTTTTATATTTCTTATTTAGGTTGTTTTTTTTTTATTTTCATTGTTTTTATTTATTCAATTAGTTTGCTGACGCCCTCTACCACAGCTGACAGTACTCAATTTTATCAAACATGCTCGCCATATTTGTACGGTAAAAAAGCGTCTTTGGGGAACGCTTTTAAAAGACATCGTCGAGATAAAAGAGAAAGAAGGGTTTTGTACATATTGACTCTTACTTTGTTTTTGTTTTTTTTTTAATTTTCTGGGGTCAACAATCCGGTCTTTATTTCAAGCCCATAAGTACATAACGATAAGGAAAACACTGTTCATTTTCGCTGGTTTTTTCAGAAATATACAAAACCATTCCTTTTAATTAAAATCTACGACATCCTTAGGCACTAGATTCGCACAGAAGGAGTCGATGTGTCACATTCACAATTCTAATATATAATTAACATCTAACATTCAAGTATACACGCACACAACATAGACACATACATTTAAGCATTTCATTTTCTTGTTTATCTCTCTCTGACCCCAATCACACATTCTCTCTCTCTCTCTCTCTCTCTCTCTCTCTCTCTCTCTCTCTATCTATCTGTCTGTACCTCTCTCTCTCTCTATCTCTATCTGTCTATATATCTATCTCGTCTCTCTCTCTCTCTCTCTCTCTCTCTCTCTCTCTCTCTCTCTCTCTCTAAATTCACCTTCATCCATGCCGTGCGCCAACGGCTTAGTGGTAGAATCCCCGACTGATGCCAATTCAGTCGGAGTTCAATCTCCAGCTCGAAGCAATCGGACGTCTAGCCACACTGACACACTGATAAACTAAGCTGTGATACAGGGAAACAGTCTGTCTGTGGATGACAAAATATATATATATATATATATATATATATATATATATATATATATATATATATATATGATATATTGGTGTACATATGCAAACAAAAGCATGTGTTCTGTGAAACTTCTAAAAGTTTGTGAATTTCTCTGTAAAAATACTAATCTTTTCTAATAGAATCTAGTTGCTCGAATCTGTTTTAAGGTGCTTGCCTTGCGAGCCAAAACATTCATTTCGAAAGGGTAGGCTTGTTGTATATATATATATATATATATATATATATACGTGCATATATATATATATATATATATATATAAACGTATATATATATATATATATATATATATGTCTGTATATTATATTTATTCGTTAGTTTATGTTTATTTTATTTATTTATTTTATATATTTATGTACTTCTTTATTTAATTTTATTTCTTTATTTGTTTTATGTTTATTTTTATATTTAATATATTTTATTCATCAATTTATTTTTATTAGTGCTTAGATGGCAAATTATTTATTTAGATGCCTATACTTAAAATTACTTTGCTTGTTTAAGCGTTTATTTTGATTTCTAAAGCTAGTTATTTTTAACTTTCCTCTTAGCATAGTTTACAGTTTTAATACTGCATGGGGTTGCCCTTTTATAATTTCCTATTTGATTTTGTTGGGGATAGTGTTTTAGGTCCATATGTATTTCGATAGGGTTGTGTTTTTGTATAATTTCCTCTCAAAGGACATTTTGTGACAGTAATATCTTTTTTTAGACTTTTTTCTGTATTGGTTAAACATTTGTCTTTAAGTGGACAGTTTATTTTATTTCTACAATTGCATTTGTTGGTATAATTTTGCTGAATGTTATTGCTATTGATGTTGTAACTGTTGAGTATTTTTTTCATTATGCTTAGTTATTATTTCCCCATGTTATCCGTGCAGCTGTAACTAATTTTGATTGTATTTTTACAATTTGATGTTTTATGAAACTGTTTGTTAAATGGTTTGAAGAATATTTCCTTATATTTATTTTTATTTTATTGTTGTAGGGAAGGTTGAGCCAAACTATATTTTACTTTCTGTTGCTTTTGTTTGTACTGTTTTCGTTTTTATATTCTAGTCTGTTTGAATATCTACCGTTTCTCAGGTCTGATGCTTATGTTTTTGTTTTTATTAAATATTTTTAAGTTTCTAAAATTTGTTAAAAATCTTTTTTTATACATATAGGTATTTGTTTGAATAAGGTAGGGATGGTTGTAAATGTTAATATATATTGGGTTGTTATTTGGATTTCCGTATGGTTTATATATTCCGTTGTCTAGGTTAAAGATTATATCTAGGATTTTTTTTATTTTTGAAAGGATTTTATATCGATTGTGAATCCAAGGTTTTTGAACGGTTTTATTATTTCTTTTCTGTTGTTAGACTTTCTTAGTATTAATAGTCCATCGTCTCCATATAGACCTATATATTTTGTTAACCATATTTTCTAATTTTTTGATTATGCATATGCCTAAGTACTATCATACTGAAACACCATTATAACTACCCAGTGTTACATAAAAACTGTTGTTTTGATGCTTTTTAGTCTATGTTTTTATTGTAGTATAGTACAGATTTTATACAATATTTTATTATATTTATATCTTCATTGAGGATAGTCATATACAGTTTAACTAAGTTTAGTGCACTATTTAATATGTTCTCTTTGATATATAGGTAAAAGTCTTGTATATCGAATTGCGTAAAAGAACAGTTTTCTTTATTGTTGATATCATTAAACCAGTTGATTTTTGCCTTTGTCTTTTTCCGTTGGTTTGTTTAATATATTTCTTAGTTTTGAGCATCTTCTTTTACTAAATGATTGCTTATTTTCCCAATGTTGCTTTTGTGAGGCTTAGTAATCTGCAAGTTGGTTTGGGCGTGAAGTTATCCTTATGGTTTAATAATTTAATAAATTATTCTAATTTTGTTAGCTGTTTTCTTCTATTGTCTAATTTTAGTTTAGTGACTATGTTTTGTTTATATTACCTTCTGTTTCGTCTTTTATGGTTGTGTAAAATTTAGTAACGTTTATCAACTGGTTTCTTGTAATTGTTGGTTTTCATTTTATAGATTATCCTGGATTTGCCTACATTTATAAATATTTTTTTCGTTGTTTATTATTTTTAGATATTTTGGGGAAATAATTGTTGATTTTTTTTTATTTCCAATTTATTGATTATTGTTTTATTGTCTTTTTAATGTTTATCGTCATTCTTAGATGCGATGAAGTCGTTTTGTTGAGGTAGACGTTTTCTTTATGTGAATCCAAATTTGTTCATATTATTTTTATTATTGTCGCTGTTCCTGTCCATGCCACTAGTGTCATTGTCTTTGTCGAGGAAATGAAATATCTTGGGCGTTTTACAATGTGTTTTACAATGTGTTCTATGTTTTTACATTGGGTTCTATTATTTTACAATGTGTTCTTTTTTCCTGTTTAAGGTGGGTATATTTTTAAGGGTACTTAAAGTGTATTGACTCCGTGTTAATGCTAATTAATGTATCGATTTTTTCCTTCTTAGTACCTCGAATGCATGGATTTAAGCGTAATACTAGATTGGCAATTAGGTCTCACAGAACAAACTAAATGTAATCTTAAGTTCTATTTTAATACCTCCTGGAACTCTATTCCGGCTTCGAGCTTTCCTACCACCACCAATCTTCAAAAATTTAAATGCAGCGTCAATCGCCATCTTCTGCCTTCCTAGAGTCTGTTCTTTTATTGTCCTTTCTGTTCACTTCTCATTCTCTTTCATTACCAGCAATCAGATGCATCTTAGTGTATTATCGCCTTCCTTGGGGTGAAATGATTAAAACAATATCATTCAGCTATAGTTATATATAGATATATGGAGAGAATGGTAGACAAAGAGACGAAAATAATAACAACAACAAAATGGTATTTCGTCAAAATCAGTCAATCAGGAAGATGTTTTTAAAACAAGTAGTCATTGTAATTTCAAAATCTCCTACAGTAGGTAGCGACGGAGAGTGAGAAGAAAGGACTAAGCATAAACTACAAGAAGACAGACAGTCATCAGTAAGAGGATGAGCCTGAAATGCAATTTGAAGGTCGGGAACACTAGAATCAAGCAGACGCAGAAGTT